GGTTCGTCCTATTCATTAGATGGATGTAAAGGTTATAGTTGTTTGCATTGGCATTGTAAGGTGAGCGACCTTGCTTTAAATACACTTTTGATAAACGCCAATTCCGTTGTTTAAATGTTGTCTTAAATGTCAGGATATAAGTGAATCTGAGAGCCAGCCCATCTTTCAATAAGGAATACATACATTTTCCTTCCAATATAAACAATTGCACTGAGGCGTCAGGCTATTGTTGTCTCAATTTAAACCAAATTACCCAAGTGCTATACTCCAAGAAATAGGTTACGCATACTGCTAAATGTCTAGTAACAACTGCTGCGTGTTTACGATATTGCATAAAGACAGTTGTGAAAGTTAGAGAATTAGACTAAATAGATTTTTTTTGTTTAAAAAGCCGAAAAACTTTATTAAATATTTAAATTAGGACTTCAATTTAAAATAGTCATGAACTGAGTATGGACTGTCGCCCATAATGTTGATGGATTTGCTTTCTAATTTATCCAAGTGTGCAGATCTTCACCAATTACAATGGTGGCTGTTTCCATTATCTTTTCCAATTTGCCCTTTTCTTCGACTGATGCAAGCTCGCATTATACACTAACTGCATAGGTTCAAATACTTTGTACGTTTATTTATAAGAGAAAGAAGTACATAGAGAAGATAGAGACATACATAAAGTAGACTCAAATAGAATCAAATCAGCGTTAAGCTTTTTCATTTTTTTGTGACTACATTTTTTTAAATATTTGTCATTTATTTATAAAATCCACAAATACAGCTGCCCAATCATAGTCATAATCATAATCGTAATAATAAGATCTTAAATTGGAACAACTGATCGTGGGTGATAAGTTCTTTTTGTTTTAATCCGATAATTTCACAATTTTGTTATGCCTTTCTATTTGATCATGACCGAAAGATATTTTCACTTTAACTTCGATTTCTGTTGAATAATAATGACATATTTCTAGTTTTACATTCACAAACGCGAAGCCCCGTCACCATTATACTTTATGACTGTAGACTTTTTGCTCTTAAAAACTACATGGCCATTACCCTCTATGATCTAAATGTATTCTTGCAACCAATCAAGATCACATATTAACAGAAGGCGTTTACTGCAATCAGTCCACCCCCTAGTCAGAAGTTATTTTTCCCCCTATACTCTTAACGTTTAGATTGACGGAACCAAATTTTAACCTTTTCAGATGAAAGCCCATATACGATTTCCTTTTAGTGTTCTACGGGTACCTTGACCGTATGTGCATTCATAAGTGAGATATTGGCCACTGAACTCTGACAGATCCAAATGTGACCTTTCTGGATAAAGTAAGGTCATCAACAAGGCCCATTATATGGTGTCCTATAAGTGTTCTATATAGGTATCTACAGTCAGAACAGAGAAATTAGACATTTAATATTGGCGGATCCAGATTGTACCTTTCCGTATCACCTCCAAGTGGTCTTGTAGGAAAACTCTTATATGTCTTCCTGTCTGTATACAATGGTAATTATATGCTTATCTGTGATAGCTCTCGACCGATTATAAATTGCGATCGGATTCCTTTAAGACACAATATTTAATTCTGTTCTGGAACTGAAGGGTCTCAATTTCACAAGTATAAAATCTTTTAAACCATGCACCTTACAGCCAATAGCGTTGCGTCGTATTCGTATGAAAGGGGAGGCTTGATGTACAGCTGTACCACCTGATACTAGTTTCAAAGATCTGGAATCAAAAATGACGCCACAAGTGACAACTCAAAATGGCCGAAAGCTGAATTCGTTTTCGGTTCCCAAATCCGGATTGCTCATTCGATCCCAACCAAACCTTAGTAAGTCATGCACCATCCTAAGGTGATAACTCATTTTAGGTAGAAACGCTATATAGCATTCATTTTGGCGGAAAATATTAACATTAATGGTCCTTAAATGGGTGTTTCAAAGTGAAGAACCGCGATTTTTAGACCTTTGTGGATCCAGATGCCTCTTGGCACAGTAACAGAAAATGTGACCCCATATATCTACAGCGAACAAGAAGTCATTTGAATGATACTGACTTTTTAAAAGTCGCAAATGGGCTTTTCAATGTCAAAATTTAAAATTTGCTTTAAAAATTCATTCTGGATCCTATCCAAACGCGGTTTGTTAGTACAGTTCCCCATCCCATACATGTGTGCCAAATTACAAAAGAATTGGCAAAGAAATATTGGAGATATGATGTTTTGAAAATTTACGCAATGTAATATCTTAAAATTTCATAATTTTTTGTATCCAAAATAAGGTCCGGGTCATCACCAAGATTTGGGGGTCATGTCCGAGTACCAGTACAATTATTCAGAGTAGGCCTACTGATCTATACCTTCAGAATTGTGAGACAAGAAGTGCAAACAGACAAACAAACAAGCAAACCGACTGACCAACATATTTCGAAATCCTCGAAGAGGACTTTTGAAGTAATAAACGGAACCCATAACATAACCTACTGGCGGAGGTGAATCTGGAATTCAGAGAAGCTCAACCTGCCTTTTTAATTCCATACAAAGATCTATGTGTCATGATTTTGACCCCACTCTTGCTTAAAATCTCGCTTAATTTTACAGTTATTCGTGAAACTTCGTGTTATCTTGGTGGACTATCAATCCCCATGGGCTTCGATCTATCACTGATATACACATGTGCGTTATAAACATGAGTCCATACTTAATACCTACAGTATGGTGACATACACCTGTTAAATGCATGTGTGCTTGTAATTAATGATTTTCAATAATAAGATTATCCAGGTTCCAGCGATCTCTTAATCCGAACACGGATTTGGGGAAATCAGAACACGTTGTAAAGCACGCGTCTGGTTATTCTGGATTCATGAAATCTTTGGTCATTTTTGTGTATGTGGTAGTCGATCTGGATCAATTTTTACAAGGAACAATGAACTCAAAACTTGGTCGTTACTTCTATAAATAAGATTTAATTTGATATAGCAATTTTTGGTCCAACATCTTGGTAACTGTTATTTACAGAAACTCTTATTATATTTACTTTGTCGTTGCACATTTATTTGATAGTTATTTACTAAACTTAGAAATACAATTGTTTGACTCATAAAAATGAAACGGTTCCTTGAGTACACTATCGTTGAGGGCGATTGTGAAATATTTTGACAATGACAGTAATAACAGGCGTCGTCGTTTTCCCTGCTTAGAATTTATTATGAGAACTCACTGACCCAAGCTTATCACCCTAAGCAGACTGTAAGACACATTGCCTGACGCCACCTTTAACTCTTTCTGCGTAATGTAGTGATAGACTGCACCAAGTCTTTCGGATATTAATTCTTTTTTGTTTTCATAAAAAAGAGTTCGTCATATTCACAAAAATTCCAAAAGGTCATACTTTCATACATTGCCAGTCTGTATACAGTTGGTAAGCACCACCCTCAGTTTAGGTAACTTTGATTCACAAGGGTGATTAAACAGATAAATGGCAGTCTTTAGTGATTATGAGTGCGGAGATATTTTAATCATTGCAGGTATTCTCTTAAATGCCAGCATTGAAAGGAGTCCAGCAGACAGTCAGTTTCTACCTGAGACCCTTCTAGCTGTAACAAAAGCTGTAAAAGGACCTTCAACCGATTTTCTAACTGCTAGGAGGGCCTCTGATAGAGTGTGCCAGACAATCAATATTTCGATGAGGACTACGTGAATATGCCTACAATATAAGCAATTGGTTTTAGGCATGTTGGTCATTGTTGTCTCATTTAAAAACCAAGTACCCAAGTTGTAAACTTTGGCAACGGCCTGCGTATGCAGGGAAATAACTTTTCTAGGAACACACACACACACACACACACATACACACACACACACACACACATATATACACACACACACACACACACTTCACGCAAAGTAGTCTTTAATTCTGATTTTTCTTCATTTTGTATAAACTGCAGAACTGGGTAATTAAAGCTTGAGTCGTAGATTACCCCAAAGGTGGCAAAATCAAGCTACGGTAAACGCACTTTCCAGTCTGTTTTTAAACTCTAAAATAGTCTAAGAGGTCACGAACAGGCTTCACGCCTTTGCCACCATAAAACAGTAATACTGCACGTGATTGCTTGGCAAAGCCAAACTTCATAGACTTCTATATGTAAATAAATTACAGTGGTACCCGTATTGGAAAGCAAGCTGACAACGTGTGAGTTACAGGTCTTGTGTTGTAGAATGTAACACCGTAGGTATTGCCATATGCCCTTTTTAACTGTACATGGTAAATGATGTGTTTTTTGGGCGCACTCATAAAGCACGTTGTACAGCACGTGTAAGGTTCATTAAGTAGACTGCAAAGATTTTTTATGGTTTCTCCGGCTGCGTCAGCAGAAGTGTAACTGATGTGCGTGACCGGTCACATAAGTATCTGCCATGAAAAAGAATTCTGATGTGAATTCTTAGCAATATTTTACTTTTTGAGCAGCAGTGTTTACAACTAATATATTTTATAATTGTGGATGGAAACGTGGGCGAATTGGTTTTTATTAGACTAAGGTGAAAGTGAAGATCACTCCCAAGTTATTTTGTTAGTCAGAGTGGGTGTGGTTAGCATTTAGTAAAAAATAAATAAATAAATAAATCGGAAAAGGGGTGAGGCGATAACGGTTAAACCATATATTTGGAGTCGGACGGGGGTCTAGACTGGCTATCAATATTAATAAATTGTCTTATTTACGGTATGTTAGGCTCAAATAAGTGTGCAGGATTTATTTACCCCCTGCTTCCAACTTTTAAGACCTACGTGGTTGAAAAACTTAGGGGGGGTCACCCCCACCCCATGTGCACCCCAGGCTTGTATTTCAATTCTATTCTGTTGGAATCAGTTGATGTATGGTTTAAGAAGGCGATTGGTGCCGTTTTAAATTATTCCATAGACGTCAATAAAACGCAGCCAGGGCGCACACGCAACAAGCGAGCATGTAAGGTAATTTAAAAAGGAGGATACCGATCTACATGTACGTGGGCTCTGAAACATAGACTGTGGCTTATCCGACTTATGCACTTCATCGAAGTTAGAGCCAACAGCTAATTCTCATTGCATAGTAGGCCTACATGTGTTACACCGCTACTGTAACATTGGTTAATTGACTAAATTGACTAGGGCCAAATTTCGATAGCGATCGTTCGTAATTTTTACATTATTCCGATGTTGGCCAGCAGTTATGAATATGGTTTTAAATGGATAAGGCCTCATTTCCAGAAAGCGATCTTTTTAATCGATAAACTTAAATGCGCATAGTCGAGACTGGTGCATACAGCCATGCCAGCGGAATTTAAGCATGTTTTATCTCCTGATCTTTTCAATCATTTTTAACGCGGCATCTACGCAGAGAGCGAACTCATAAATCACAGCATTCGGAATACCAGTAACAATAAGTTATAAGCTCGCTTGCGTTTCAAACGGAAGACAGAAGCCATAAGCCAGGTAGACGGTAACTGGAGATTTTTTCTTTCCACCCATCAAATCTTTCTTGCTTGGAGTCCGAATTTTCGAGTCCGAGGCGAATATCAACTCCAAGAGCTACGTGTATCTTGGTGTAGTCTTCGAAACGTGGGGGTTTGTTGTTGGTAAGTGTTGCATTCCTGTTCATTGTGCTGATCTTTTTAATATGACATCATTTAGTGTATACCGAATCTGTAGAACAGTTAATCTCCTTATGAAGTTCTTAATTATTGCATTTTAATTAATTAAGATCATTTGATCGAAAGTGCGACATTTTCACCTGTGTGCCGTAGTGAGTGTGCTTGCTCTCTTCTAGGTAGGGGCACTTGTTCAAGACAGTGCATGTGTAAAATGGTTGGTCTATCACAAGTCTTGAAATGGTCAAATCAGATAAAAACCAGTATATACTGCTTTTTTGTTGTTGTTGTTGAAAAAAGGTTATGCTGCATATAATAGAATGATATTCAACAAGAACGAAAACCACTTCACCTCTTTAGCCTTTTCTCCTTTTCTTCTTAACGTTACTTTATTCGTTACACATTCCAAATCTTCTAGGCAGCAACAGTGATTGTTTTTCCCTCTTCTTTTTTCTAAATTAATGCCAGAAAACAGTAGTTTTACCCGCATTCTGCTACCATTGTCTGGTTTTTAAGAAAAGAGGAACTCGCATATCTGTTTTAATTGTATTGTATTCTGTTAGCAAAGACAATATTATGTTACGCAATTCAATGTTGTTGTGTGTTTTTGAGCAATATATTCATCGCGATCAGACTTTCGAAAGTGATTTTAAGTTTTTTTTATTGTTGTCAATTTTTGTACATTGTGGCTTGTTGATGACCAATTAATACCCTGGGGTTTTTTTCCGTGGGGGCTGATTGGGAAAAATAGCCAGTAATCTGCACATAACTGGCCTCTAAGGCAGTGAATCGAAACCAATGTACAATTACCATTATGTCCTCAAAAGACCCGGGCACAGATAGATAGATTTATACCGCTATCAGTGACAGATGTTTAGATTTCCAAGTCAACTTGGGGTTTATTGTCTCCTACAGCTACATTATATTGTGGTTTACTTTGCACTTGGGAACATGTTTGGATAGAATTCGTGGAACAACACTAGTGGGAAGAAACAGCAGTATTTGTGTCAATTCGTTTACATTTCAAACAATACATCATGTCATGGTGATATCTTAAAAAGCAGTTTTTTATTGCGTAAAATGTACGTGTAGATGGAATGACCGTATCTCTTTTTATCTTCACATGCAATAACAAAAGAAACTCGCTTCCTTCTCTTTGATGTAATAGACAGAAGCTATTCGATTTAGGGTCATCTTTCAGTTGCCACTTGTGCATAAAAGGGGTCTGCTGGAACGTATACGTAGACACCTCTTTTGCACCATCGGTATTAACTGTTTATCGACCAATAATTACCTTATTAAGATTCGGCACAATCTTCCTTTGCGGTCATTAACCTTAACGAAGCTTTGGCCAATTTATTTGCAGTAAGATACATATCTCTAACAGTGGTCGTGTGGTCAGTGAATCGCCTAAAAGGCGAGTGAAAATTGGATTACTATATTGCTGGCGGCGTGCAGAAAACATCGTCCTTTCTTTATAGATGTGTTAAAAAGTACCATATCTCAGCCAATTTTAAGGGTTGAATGTCCTGTGCATACTGTGCACTGTAACATGAGATATCCATTGCTGATCGCTGGCAGAGACCCGCCCTTCTTGGTCACCAGCCGGGGCCCTATATGTAGGCATGCTCGTTCCCATGGTTGCAGTTCATAGTAGGTTATGTCGGAAATCGAGTTTTATTTAAATGCCATTACGCGCTTGACGTTCAATTCAATCTGATATTAAGGAAGCCAACCTGGCATCAATACCAATGACGACGCCTTTTTTTTTTTATCTGATCATTTCCTTTTCCCCTGGTTTGCCGGATTTGCGTTCTCGTAGGACAAGGCAAGTAAAGCCAATCAGAGTGAGCTCAGATTTCGTGCATCATTGCATTCGTATGACGCAAGAAACAATATGAAACAAGACTATGGGAAATGCATTGTGTATATAATTAGATGATCCGTCACGTAGGCTTTTATTCACCCCGTTTCTGTTTTTATCTTTTCTGCCTTTTACCCACAGCTTCCATGCCAACGCATTTTTAGCATTATGGAATTGGTAAATTCTTGTCAAACGTGGTAATATGTATATTGTCTCTCCCTCTCTTTATTATCTCTTGCAGAGATATGGTAGGTGTATAACTGTATTCATTATACAAGACAATAAACACTTTTTTCCATACCCCGAAAAGAGCTTTTATTATGTTATCCTTCATTTCACCCTATTTCACATTACTTAATTATTCACCTTAAATATTTGGGAATAAGTAAACATTCTCATTTTGCTGTTGGTAATTCTTCTACCAGTATATATCAAAAGACGATGCAATATTAATGATAGCAGGCGACACAAGCTGTTGTATGCGAACTATAGAATAGGTAGTTAATTGGATCAAAATTACGAAGATCTGATCTTGGCGATACTGGTACTTAGCGAAATGTGTCTGATAACGACCAACAGTAGGACAGATTTAGATGCCATAAATGTACGCAAACTCTCGAAAGCATTCTAGACTATTCAAGGATTGATCTAAAGGCGTTTTATTTTAGAAGACCAAATACCAAAAATAGAATGCTATTGAAAAGATGGAATCTATGTAGGCCCAATTAACACTGCTATTTCTACTTTTAATAGTGGGTCATTTTTCAACATTATACTTATCAGACCGACTTATCATGCGATTTCGAAGGTTTCAGCATTCATTTGAGTTGCTGTGTGTGTGTGTGTTTGTGTGTGTGCGTGTGTGCGTGTGTGTGTAAGTTGGCTGTGCGATTCAGCAAAAGGAGCCGATTACACAAACATTCCCTGATGGTGCATGCACAAATCCAAATCAAATTATTCATCACATTTCATTCGAGGTCCCCTCTTAATTCTCCAAAACCATTCCAAATAGATGCTACACATTTTATTATTTTCTTAAGTTAACTTTTTGAAAAGAAGATAGAGAAATATCATTTTTGTCACTTTTACCATTTAACAACTATGTCTTGTTTTATGGTACATGAAGGCTGGATATGACACCGTAATATGGTCGAAAACATCTAACAAATCTTTTACCATTAGTTTCTTTCAAATAGCATTAATTTCAAAGAAACACATCTGTTGGCACATATCTATTATCTGTCATATACTGCATATACATGTACAATAATGTTTTCTAAGAAACTAGCCTTGGTAAAGGCGAAAGCCTTGCTAAAAAGCTGTTATATTTGAACGCTTTAAACGTTAACTTTTTTCGTCATTTCGTCATTTGTGTGGCTATTTTGTTCCTGGCCCATATATATTAGGTCCAAGTTTGATTGATATATAAAGCCAATATGTAGCTTTAAAGAATCGGTATTTTAATGCCCATATTAACCCTCTCTAATGTATTAAGTGCGGTTTTCGCATTGCAATGCTATCAATGAGATGAAACACACATCCTTCCAAACACGTTGGTTTCTTTTTGTTTTAATAGCATCTACATGTTAAGTACTTGTTTAGTTGCTATCAACCAGTGTGTTTGCAGTATTTTCATAATCCTGAAGTATTTACGCGAAAGCGCGATCAGTCATTTAAAGTTATAAAGCTGCAAGTGGATCTCATATGCGTAATGTCGGTAACGATCTTTATATCTCCATAATTGTGTGTACCCTAAATAACCAAATCAAAAGTCAAGCATAATCTTCTCGGTACAGGTATTTAGAACACACCTAACGCGTCTCTAAATAGCCTAGCTCAACCCCTCTGCACTTCTTGTTCGTCGATTTGTCTTGATCTTGTTCAATTGCTTTTGTTTAATCCAATTTTTTCTATTATGCGGAGAAACATAGTTGTGCGGAGAGCCACCTGGTGCAGTGGCAATTCACACTGATGATGTTTGTCTGCCCTCTCGGTACCCTCACTGAAGGTGGCCCGGCGCCTTCCAGGCAGATACGCTTGTTGTGTATAATTCTATCAAATTTGACTGTCTGCCAGTTGGGATTTTGAGTAAATGAAAGAAGGTTGGGTGTTAACTGGAATGTACACTAATTGGTACAGTAAAGAACGAATGTTGGCAATCCACTCTGAAAAATACTGTTGAACTAGGTTCATCCGTGCAAAAAGTAGATATAAATGGTTCTAGACAGATCGGGTTGGCAAGTACAGAGCCAATAGACTGACTGACCCGTGCCAGTTCTCGTACTAATTGACTTATTATTGAGTTTTGCAGGAAATGCAGGGTGACCTTTTCAATCGTTTATCCAGTCGTTTTATCCAGCTTGGCTTACCGCGTCCAATAGCGTTCTCCTTGCCTTCAGTACTACGTCACTTAAGTTGTATTGCATATTATGTAATCGCCACTTGAAAATGTAGGAAGAGCATTAAATCTATAACGGAAGGACCTGTGAAGAACGCAGGTTGGTTAAACATTCAATGTTCCATTATGCAACACTTGTAGTTGAGGAACGTAAGCGTTTCCTGTATTTCTTCAGCTTTCCAAGGTGGCGTTAGCGATGATGTGCCATGTTTCATAGCATAAAACAACCAGAATTCTATTTTCGAAGGGGTGGAATAAATACATGTAAATTTCAAAATGTGCGTGAGTATCACGATCTACATCTATTTTGTATTAATTGGAAAATGGACCGAGGTGACAGCAATTTAAGTCTCGGTTTCATATCTCCATAGGTCCAGTTACACACAACCGGTGGTTGGATGGGCATATATGGCTAATAAGAAAAAGGAAAAAAAAAACAAGTTAAAAATAAAACATAACCATCTACGATCTTTCTGATGCATGTACTCGCAAAGTTGGCGTTCAATGTACATGTAGGTTCATTTAATTGTGCCCCCCCCCCCCCCACCACCACCAACCGAATCCTCCACACGTTCCTTAGACATCTGTTACCCAGTCAACAAGACAAAACTCAATATTAGTCATAAATATTTATAGGAATACACGATCACATTAAATGATAGTGAAATAAGGGACAGCAAGCTATTTAATTAGTGCACCTTGTAACTGCCTTAGCCAGTATGCGGG